GCAGAAGTTCGAAAAAGTTGCTCGCAAAAGCCCGTTTGACAGAAATGTTTAAAAAGTGTTGGGTTTCCTACGAATCCGCAAGAGCGCGCGGGATGAGATTTTGACATTTTTTTGTTGAAAAACCATTGGTTTTTTGATGTTTTTATGTTAAAATCGCTCCGAACACTAAGCTTTTGGAAGGATTTCGTCTTGCGCGCGCGAATGTCCACTTTACCTTATTTTTTGCAAGGGATTCTTGAAATTTGATTATATTAGAACAAGAAATGTCATTTTATAGTGTTTTTTGCAAGGGAAAACGGATTACAACAAAACAACCGGATCTTGATCACTCGAATTACCTGAGGCTTCCTCACGAAAATGATGAAAACGTGGCTGCGGCCTAGGCGCGGCGGGGGGGGCGCGCACCAGGGGGCCCAACAATAATTATTCTTTAGAATTAATAATGTTCAACAACAACAACAACAACAATTACTAGCACGTGGGGACACTCCGTTCTCACCAGTGCCAGGGTTTTCATAGGAGGCGGGCAATACCCCCACTTTGTGGGGGGGCCGGTTCAAGCTCTACCAAATTTCCAAACGACTCTTCGCCACCACCCACACCCAGCTTCCCGCCCTATGACGTTCGGACACTTCACTTCGTGGCATGCGGACGACCGTGGCTACTATTCAGGGCCCCGCGGCCGACGACGACGGCGTGCGCGCGCGAAGAAAAAACGAATGTGTCCCGCATGGTATTATTTGACAGGGATGATGGCCCTGGCAGGTGCGCAACCGTTGTCGCAGAAGTTCGAAAAAGTTGCTCGCAAAAGCCCGTTTGACAGAAATGTTTAAAAAGTGTTGGGTTTCCTACGAATCCGCAAGAGCGCGCGGGATGAAATTTTGACATTATATATATATATATATATAAGAAAATGGTGTTTTGATGTTTTTATGTTAAAATCGCTACGAAAACTAAGGTTTTGGAAGCTTGCGCGCGCGAGTGTCCACTTTACCTTATTTTTCGCAAGGGATTCTTGAAGTTTGGTTATGGTAGAACAAGAAATGTCCACTGTAGCTTATTTGTTGCAAGGGAAAGCGGGCCGCAACAAAACAACCGGATCCGGACCAACCCGTTTTGCCTGAGACTTCCTCACGAAAATGATGAAAATGTGGCTGCGGCCTAGGCGCGGCGGGGGGGTCGTGCACCAGGGGCCCCAACAATAATTATTCTTAAGAAGAAACAATGTTCAACAGCAACAACAACAGCAACAACAACAACGACAACAAACAAACAAACAAAAAATCAAAAAAAAAAAAAAAAAAAAAAAAAAAAAAAAAAAAAAATGGGCAATCCCAGCGCTGGGCGACCGACCGCGCTGAAAAGGACCCCGCCAGCTCGGCCACAGAGAGCGACGGGCGCCGCCTTCCGCAACTCGCCGGGCAGGGCGCCTCCGCCCCCGAACCTGCAAGGGGTCATTCTCGGGCCCCTCGAGGATCGCGTCGGCCAGGCCCGCGGTCGCGAGCGGAGCCTCGTGACTGAAAGAATACGCAGGCGGCATCGGTCACACCGACGCCCTCGTCCACAACGAGATCCCCGGAGTTGGCGGCGGTAATGTTGGCCTGGTCAGGCACGACCCGCTCGGGAACCAGGCCCTCGGGATCGGGCGGCGGTGCGCCGGGCGTCTGGGGGTGTAGCTCGAGCTCCAAGTCCTCGCCGAGCTCCGCAGACTGGACCGAACGGCCTGGGCGGCCCCTGCAGCCCGCCGCCCGTTGGCGCGCCCCGCATGGGAGCGGCTGCGCGCTTTCGGCGGCCGCCGCCCTTGCTGTCCTCGATGGCGCCACGGGCGGCGCGACTCGCGCCCACGGCCTCGGGAATGCCCGCGAGCTCTGACGCGGCCGCCACCAGCTAGGCGGCGCCCTCGCTGTCGGAGACATCGGCGACGCCCACGCTAGAGGCGTCGAGCTCGCGGCGCGCAAATTCCCGGGCGTTCCCCTGCCTTCCTCGTCGCAGCCACCATCGCCGGGCCACTCGTCGATATCCTCGTCGTCGCCCACCGCGCCGATAGGTCGCCCCCCGCGCGGCGGGGGGGGCCAGCGCGAACCCCGATGACCGCGAGGGCCGCGGGCGCGAGGGCGGCGGCGGCGCTCGCTCCTGCGAGTGGATGCATGGTAACATGCGGACCAGCAAAGTCCTGATGGTGGCAAATCTACAGCGCTCGTCAATTGCCAACGACGCGCTCGCGTCGCTCTGGGGGTAGACCCGCCTTGCGGCGCAGGAACCATCCAGCCACGTCGTTGAGCTAGCTGGTCGAGGTCAACCTCGTTCTCGCGTAGCTGCCGAAGTCCCATGTCGAAACTGACGATCCAAGCTGTCACGCGATCGCCGCGGCAGCGGTGATGCTGAGCACTCGAGAAATGATCGAGCATCTCGCCCTCTTGCGCGGGCTTCTGCTTCCCGAGAGAACGCACCACATGTGCTAACACGTGGTCGATGCCTCTGATTGTTCGGCCACACTACCACACTGCAGCATCATCTATATTGTCATTCCCTTCTGGATGTAAACCAGCTTCCTCCACGTTGGGTGCCGCCGCTCGGGCGGTTCTCGTCAACTTCAAGACCAACGTGGAAGCAAGGCACCTTGAAACTTCGATGTTCTCGCTAAGCTTCGAAAGCTCGACCTCCTGATTGTAGTCACGCCATTTGGATGGGGTCGCCGTTCCGACATGGAACTACTGGGTTGTTGAACGCGCGGTCGCTCTGGTAATTCTCCACCGCGCTGGCAATGAGAATGAAACTATTGTCGTCGGTGGTGTCGCTGGACGTCGTGTTGAAAATATAACAGATCTGGCTGACGTCGCTGACGTTGTGATAGATATGGCTGACATCACTGACGTCCCTCGATATGCAATAGGGGTACACGTTGGCGTCGCAGACGCCGGTGGAGATGCAACAGGCGTAGGCGCTGGCGTCTCAAACGCTGACGGAGGGCAAGCAGGCGCAGGCGCTGGCGTCGCAGACGCTGGCGACGAGGCGATAGACGTGGGCGCAGGCGTCGCAAATGTTGTCGGAAAGGAGGTAGGCGTAGTCGGTGGCGTCCCAGACGCTCTCGGCGAGGCGTAGTTGCTGACGTCGCGGACGCTGACGGAGAGGCAGTAGGCGTAGATGCCGGGGTCGCAAACGTTGGCGCAAGGGCAATGGATGTACTTGGCGTCGCAGACGCTGGCGATGATGCCGACGAGTTTGCAGGAAGCCGCTGGGTTTTGATTCCAATCTGGAAGGACGAGTCGCGGACGTCGTCTTGGCAATATGGACGGCCCTCAGGTCGGGATAGCGAACCTCGCTCCAGGCTACAACTGCGATATGGAAGAGTATCTTGGGAAATTGCATAGCCTGGGGATCGCGGATCCTGCACGTCGATTAGCTAAGGGACCTGGGTGCCAACCGCACGCGGGGACTTCGGGATGAGGGAGCGGCTGAAGCATGAGCACGGACAGGGCGGGAGCACGCTGGACCACAGGAAAGCGACCCGAATCACACGCTGGACTCCGAGTCCGCTGCGCCACCGCGCGCGTGGCCGCGACGCCAAAAGTCTGCACGCGAACGGGACTGAGCGTAAAAACTGAGTGGGTCAGAGTGCGAGCGCTGCCCTCCCCTGCTCTCTGCCGCCGCTCTTCTGAACAGGTCGGGTTTCCCTTTCGGATGCCCCAGCGCAATGCCTGCTACAGCGCGGTGATCACGGGGCTACGGAAAGAGACGCGTGTCTCCCCGAGAGCAGGCGTTCTGCCTGAGAGGTCCCACCAATCTGGGAGCGGACGGGACTGTGCAACACCCCAGGTCGAACCGCCCAGCGATGATGATGGGGCTCTGAGAGAAGACGCGCGCTTCCCCGAATACAGGCGCTATACCTGGGTGAGCCCACCGATCTGCGCGCGAACGGGCCCGTGCAACACCCCGGGTCGACCCCGCCCTTCAGAGACCCAAGTTCCACGCTCGCTACATCACGACGATCACGGGGCTATGAAAAGAAGCGTGCCTTACCTCCAGGAGCGGTGGCGTTCTGCCTGAAACAAGAGACAAGAGGCAGAGGAACCTCCGCAAGACACGTTCTTACCTCCACGAGACAAGAGGCACGGGGCCAAGAGTCAGAATTGCAAGAAACCCACCCTTACGATGTGTGGAATAGGTGTGAGAAGGGGTAACACAAACACAACAACGAACAAGCTCAAAAACTACCCATGCATACATACATGCATACGCATATGCATATACACATGTGTGTACGAATGTGTATGCATATTGCTTGCATGCGGAAGTGCATGCTTAAATATATATATATATATATATATAACAAATACGTGCATACTAAAAACCACACGCGCGCCTCGCGCGCGCTTGGGCTATACCATGCTCTAGTTGTTGCTTAAAGTGTTCGGCATCGGAAGACATGTGCTGTCACACGGACGGCGCCCCACAGGAAGCTTCACCTGCG